TTTCACATTTTGAGAAAAAAGACTTCCATGCTGAATATAAGAGAATAACAGATTCCAGCACAGAGATTCCAGCACAGAATCTAACTACAAAAAACAGTGGGCAGAATCAAAGGGCATTTTCTCCTATTATCAAACTCTGTAATTTTATGTACTGTATTATGAAACATACCCAGAGCTGTTTGGAAGCAGCACACCTCCCCACTCCACCCCCTCCAATATGATTTCTGCAACCTATATGAACATATGACTTTACATCCTCCCAGTCCATATCTCAGGCTGAGAGCTATGGAGAAAACAAGAGAGATGTTGATATGTTCATCTAAACCACTGGTTCCCAAACGATGACCTGGCCCATCGAGGCCTTTTTACTGGCCCGTGGCCGGTCCTGTCACCGCCGCCACCGCTCGTGCATCCTGCTGGGCACCATTTTGTCTTCCAAAATGGAGTCCAGAGTCGTGTGCATGCACCCAGCATTTCACACGCATGCGCATGACTCCAGGTGCCATTTTGGAATACAAAATGGCAGCCAGCATCGCGCGTGCATATGCACTACTTGGGCACCTGTTCCAAAATGGCACCTGGAGTCGTGCTCATGCGCATGACTCTGGACGTCATTTTGGAAGGCAAAATGGTGCCCGAGTAGTGCGCGTGCACATGCGCCTCCAGCCCCCCGAAGATCTGGGGGTCAGTGAACTGGCCCCCCAGATCAAAAAGTGTGGGGACCCCTGATCTAAACAGTCAAAAAGGGGACTATTCTTTCAAAACTCTCCTCTTGTTCACTTTCTATAATTCCAGTTCAGCACACAAGGCTTGAAATGTGCATAAGAAATAAAACTACAACATGAGTTCGGTTTGCTGTCTAAACTGGACAAATTATTTCTGCATCTATTAAATATATAATATCAATATAAACTTGTACTAATGAGTGGATGTATAGGTTTGGAGCCAGACATATAACAGACCCACTGATGCCTACAAAAGAGCCAACGTAATTCATTAGTCACAGCTAACATAAATTCCATTCATTTCACTGACTCTTCATTGAGTATGATATTAACTCCTAATGTTTTAGCTTTCTCAGATTAATTAGAGTTTGATTGCCTTGATGACTCAATGGCTGGTTCTGATTTATGGTAAAGTCCATAATAGCTGTTTAGTGCAATGTATAGGGAGCCTAACTCAATCCACTGACAACATATTTTGATATTTCAAGTGCTTGACAATTCCAGGCTGTCAGGCAAACAAAACAACTACAACAGAAGTTCAATCTCTGGTCAGCTCCCACACATAGCTGGATGGTTAAGTTTGGCTTAATGGGTCAAAAATTGCACAAGATTATATTAGCTGATTATTGTGATGATTCACAATTTTTTAAAAACATTCTTTAATACAAATACTGCATGTGTAAGCCTCAGTACAGTTTTGGGAGTCTACTGTTACAGTGGTCCTTTGGTATCTGCTGAGGCTTGATTCCAGGACCCCCTGTGGATACCAAAATACGTGGATGCTCGCCCCTTTATATAAAATGAAGTAGTGAAATGGTATTCTTTATATGAAAAGGCAAAAATCAAGATTTGCTTTTTGGATTTTGTTTTTCTGGGGGTATTTTCAAGCCATGGATGGTTTAATCTGTGGGTGCAGAAGCCATTGAGGGCTGGTTGGCTGTACATATTTGTATAGTTCTTAAGAAGAGAAGCCCTTTCATGAAGACAGAGAGCAGAAGTATTGGTAAACACAAGACAGGAAGGGAGCAAAGAAAACAGAAAGGGAAATAAGATTAATTACGTATAAAGTACAACATCTTCATAAAAGTACGTAAATCATATTTAGAGGTTGAAAGAAGTCTTTAATTTTAAGATGATTCATGGGTCATCTCAAAACGCATCTATTTAAGAACTGTATGTGTCAGTGGGGTGTAGTGGCTTGAGCGTTACACTTGAACTCTGGGAGACCAGTTTGGATCCCTGCTCAACTTTGGAAACCCACTAGATAACCTTGGACAAGTCACACACTCTCAGCCTCAGGAAGGCAATGGCACACATCCCTGAACAAATATTGGCAAGAAAATCACAGCCTTGGGGGTCAGCATAAGTTGGAAATGACTTGAAGCTGTACAATACAATGCAGCTGGTTTTTCTGTTCAACCCGATCAAGTTAGATATCATGTCATGCCATGCAGAACTAACTTCCATATTAATACACATAGCTAGAAAACAATAAATCCCAGCCCAGAAGACAGGACGATAAGCTTGTAGCCCCTTCAGATAATTATCACTAGTGCAATTAGATTATTGTAGAGACAGCAAGAAAGGTGGATTTGTGTCTCTGATTCCATCACCATCAAACAACTGAGTACAGGATGCTTATCATTTCACAGGGCATGTGCATACAGATGAATCTAGGCCACTGGTTTTTAATGCAAAAGACTTTGGGGCTAAGCAGACAGGCGGTCGTGGGCTGGCCTGGGAAGCTGCGCCATGGGACCGAGGTATCCCCACACCTCGGCCCCGCGGCGCAGCTTCGCAGCCCCTGGAAGGAGTGCTAAAATAGCGTTCCTTCCACAAGTCGCCGAAGGTGCACCACAAAAGGCTGGTGGCGCACCCTCGGCGACTCTTCAGCCGCAGCTTTTGCGAACGCTGAGGTGGGAAGTCATCATCAGAGCGCCGGCTGTGCAGAGGGGCCGGTGCTCCGACGATGACTTCGGGAAGGGGTTGGGGCACCCACCGTGCGGCTGCCCCTCCCCTTCCTTGCCCCTAAGACATCCCTTTTAGCCGTCTGCTTCCTCCCTATGTTTATGACCTCAGTGTTAGCCATGACACCAGTCATTCAAAATCCAATTAAGGTACTGGATTTTTCTCTTTTATAAAAATGTTTATAATTTCCTTTCTGGTCTTCCTCAGGTCCTGAGTCCCAGGTGTCCTCCATTACCCTTGCAGGACTGCCACAGAAACTGAACCCTCTTTGTCAAAAGGATTTCCCCAAGACTGACTCCAGATATATCTGTTCTCACAAGTCATGTCTCTGTTGTGGTTGGAAAAGAACAAACATTTTCTGCATTTCTTCTAAATTAAGCACCTTTCTGTACACATTTGTACACTGAAACATTTATTTCATTGGGAAGGGGTGGTTCAAGGCTCCCATAACTCCTCTGATTACTCTTCTGCTGTCATAAATCACCTGCCTACTAACTTTTCTGATTTGAGAGCTCATATTAGGTGAGTTTTCAAGGACTGTAGTGTGGCAAACCTAATAGCCCTTGGGCACAATTCCACATATATATGTGCAACAAGCAGAAAACAGGGCAGGAAATATTATCTAAAAGTGTTCCTAGATACTATATGACAGTTTACTAAAGAAGCACAGATTGCTGTAATAAGTAATTCAAGCATCAAACCACAACACAGTGAAAACAGAAAAGCCTACCATACTTTAAAAAACACCCTCAGATCTCAGCAGTAGCAACCAGTTTTGACCTACCTGACACAAAAATGCCATATCCTTCAACTGTCCCAGCTTGTCAATGACAGTACTGATAAATCTTCTGTCATCCCACTTTTTCAGCTGCTTTTAAAATGTCCCTATTTCTCTCTCCACCTCCCACTTTCCTCCTTTGCTACAAACTGAGTTTAAAGTGCAAAAGTAGTTTGCATTTAATTAAGGGGTTCTGCAGACAGCGGCCCCAATCTGGCACTCTTCCACTCCAAAAAGAGCTGGCAAATGCCACTCCTTTTTGGATTGGCAAAAGCCACCCTTGCTGCTGTGGTGACGGCTTTTCCGTGCTCCACTGGTGCAGTGTGGCTGTATGCTGCACCAAGGGAGTGCCCTGAGCCCACCTTCCATGTAGTGGGGGCACGCGATGTGACAGCAGCATTGGGACAGAGTCGGGATGGCTGGCATGCAGTCATCACACCCCGACTCCACCCCCAGGCCAGCCCTTTTGGCTGGTCTGTATAGCCCCTAACTCAGTGGAGAGGGTGAAAGGAAGGAGGGGGTCTAGTTTTACTCTTCCTCACAGTCTTAGCCAAAAGCAAACTGGTACAGACTCTCTTAGCTTCTTCCTTATTAATACCTTTCCCCATCTTGACCACCCTCTGATCTTGCTTCACCATACATGTCCTGGTTTTCATGTGCTCTGACCCAAGGTTTAAAAATATTTAGTAATTAACTGAATAGTGAATTCTAACAGAACTACAGGCTGATGATGTGCTGGAGTTGGATCAGACTGAAAAGAAACTCAGATGTGGAAAATAAATATCGTGGCATTGACCAAAAAAAGTTACTTTTAGGGCCAGAATCTATTCAACCATTATAGGAGTCACATTTAGGGTTGGAATGTGATCCCCAAAACCTATATTTGAAACTTGGCAGCACCTCCAAATGAAACACTTCTGATAAAAGCAGAGAGGGATGGTGTCTGTAGGGCTCTCCCAGTCATGGAGCTCCTTGAAACATGCAATTGTGGCAAGCCTCTCTACTCAGTTGTCTCAACATCCTCCACAACCACAATCTCCGGTCCCTCAGAAACACTTTGCTCAGCATGCTGCCAGACTGCAAACAGGTTTTTGGAGGGATGGCATGGTCAGAAACCTCTCATCATAGTTACATTGACAATGCAGGATCTTAGTCTAGGTTGTGGGGTTTTGTTGCTGTTGTTGTTTGTTCACCTTTCAAATTACAGATAATCTATTAAAAGGGAACAGGAAATTGTTACAGTGGGCTCTCCATATCCATGATTTCAATACACATGGCTTGAAAATATTCCAATTCCACCCCCACCCCACCCCCACAAAAACAAACCTTTATTTTGCTATTTTACATAAAGGATGTCATTTTACTTGTTATCATTCGTCTTCAAATCATTTCTGCCTTATGGTGACCCTTAGGTAAACCTATCATGAGGTTTTCTTGGCATGTATCTTCAGAAGGAGTTTGCCTTTGCCAATGCCATCCTCTGAGTCTGAGAGAGTGTGACTTGCCCAAGGTCACCCAGTGGGTTTCCATGATTGAGCTGGGATTTGAACCTTGGTCTCTAGAGCCTTAGTCCAACACTTAAACCATTGCACCACACTGAATCTCCATTTTACTACACTATTGTATATAAGGGACTTGAACATTCATGGATTTTGATATCTACAGGGGGTGGTGCTGTTGTGTAACCAAACCCCAGAGGATACCAAGGGCTCACCGGGTGGGGAAGAGACAGTGTTCTGTGCTATTAAATCATGGTTAACAAGCTACCTGTAACAGTCAAAATAGAAATAACTGCATACTAGAAAGATCCCAAAGAACTTGCTTCCTGTAGGTGATCAATCTTGGAAAATAGCTCTGTCTGTGATCTTATGAAGAAGAAAAAATAACAGTGCACATGCAAGTGTGTGGTTTCTGTTTATTATGCATACTCATAATAATAATTTTCTTCTGTGTTGTCCCTGTTAACTTGTTTAAGTTTTAGAAAAGTGAATTTTAATATCCCTCTAAGAAGGATGGCTCATTTTTGCTCTTGTTTGTTTGTTCTGGCATGTCTAACTATAACATCACTTTCTTGTAAATTGATTTTTTTTAATTGAAATAAATAATATGAGCTAAAGAGATTTTAAACTTCTACAGGGTATTTTTTTCTTCTAATCAGATACAAAATTTAATAACTTCTTAGGGAGTTGTGACAAAAGGCCTTCACATATTATACACATGAAAACCAGGACATGTGTGGTGAAGCAACATCAGAATGTGGTCAAGGTCTGAATGCACCTTAAGCTAGGCTACCTGGGGCACCAGTTTTTATTATATTTCCAATGTGATAAGGACTTATACTATATTTGTGCCCACTGCTTACAATTCACACACCCCAACTCAACAGGGACTGGCAACAGATGACTTGTGGGCTGGCAGTGGTCCAGTGACCACCACTTTGAGTAGCACTACCTTAATCCACACTTGGCTTAAATACTTCTGGGCAACAAGGTGAATGAATTTTCACTCCCAATGCAAATTCACTTGGGAGCAACCATAAATAAATAAATAACTTCACAGCAGCCAAACACAGCAAAGTGAAAAATGCCCCCGGACCCTTCAGCCCTTAAGTATCTGTTAATGTGAAGTCATTTTGGAAAGCAGATGAGGGAACATTCAAAGTCATTTCCAGATTTCATCTGGGATGCTACTGTTCCCTACCCCTTGTTAATATCAAGTCTCAGGTGCCTAGTCCATCCTTCTTATGACCCATCAGAGCAGGTTATAGACAAGTTTCCCTTAAAACTGGATTCCTTCCCTTCCTTAGTGATTTCCCCCTCTAGAACAGCAGAAAGAAATATGTCAGTTTTATTGTTCTGCACAAAAACAAGCTGTGGCTTCTTTTAAAAGAAGAAGAAAGAAACCATTGTTTTGTTTATATTGCAGAAGCTCAATGTGGAATGATCAAAGGCTTGAGTCAAGATGTTTTTGTGTGTGTACTACAGTTGCCTCAAGTACCGAATTGCACCCTAGATAAGAGAAACCATCCTTTACCACTCTTTCTTCTAGTACTGACATGAGCCCACAGAGACTATATTTCATGTAGTCCAAATTGACACAAACACAGGTACTGCATACCCAGGTGCAAAGTGCATTTCTCTTAGCTTCCTATTCCTGCTTTACATCAACTCAAAGTTAGAGGAAGTGGTCTCCACAGTGAACAAATTACACGAGTCTTTCTCAGCAAAAAGCCTGTTCCGGATTTCAGAGGCTTGACTTTATCTGTTAAGTGCAAGAAGATAGCTCAGGTTTCCTTGTTTAAACAACAAATCTTCCTTACTGCTCCACAAATCATGAGCCTGAGCCTGAAGAATTTCATCCATTCCTTAGATCCAAGATCTCTCCCTAGGATTCTACAAATTCAGTCTGGCTTTTATGATGAAGGTGAGTTTTAGTTTAAAATCATAGTAGTGCATCGGAGTGACTCAGAATCATTTTTAAATGGTCTGAGAGCTTGAAGCTTTATGCTGTGAGAGCATCATCTTTCCATAAATTGGCAGCCCTCTTATAGCAAAGAATGATGCTAACCATATAAAAATAATATGTCCCATACTTTTTTTGAACCTCGCATGATTGGAGTGAAATGCAAAACCTGAAGTCAGGACTAATAAAAGCATTTTTGTGCCTTTAAACATAAGATCCTCAGGTCCTAGATGTGCACATTCTCACTGATGGGGGGGGGGGGGCAGAATTTAAAATAAATGTTAATTAAGTAAACTCAGAGTAATCAGTGCATATGAGACAAGGGAAGTTGGAACAATTGATTATTGGAACTCTGCATGGTCTAGATGCTGCTGGAATCAGACCAGAGAAAACATGCCAATTGTATGATGGTTAATAATAATAATAATAATAATAA